GAGAAGGCATCTGTCAAGACAGGGGGAGCCCCTGAGTTCTAGTCCCGCTTCAGGCACGAAGCCAGCTGGGGGACCTGGGGCCAGTCCCTCTCTCTCTCAGCCCTGGGAAGAAAGCAATGGCAAACCACTTCTGAAAAATCTTGCCAAAAAATCTGCAGGGACTCATTCAGGTAGTTGCCAGGGGTTAAGACTGACTCACCCACCGCCCCGGCCTCAAACCCTCCAACCTAATATTATTCATGCACTAAGCTATACATATGAATTATGTTTCAGTTAAATACAGTGAACTCTCAGTTTAATGAAGCTCAATTAGGTTGAAGATGCAATGGACCACTGACAGATTTTCTGGCCAGACACCACCCCAGAATAATGGGGAAATACCATTGTATTTAGAAGGCTGTAGATGATTCAGGTCAGTGTCGGCAACAAGGAGGCAAGGGTATGCACCATCCCACGAAGGACGTCATTACAAAAATTCAGGCATCTGGCTTTCATAGATACCGCTTACGTGATGCACGGAAAAAGGAGAGGGCTTTGATTGTGGTCAAAAAAGTCAAGATGGTGGCTACGTTGGTGCGATCGAAGCTTCACCTGATTTTTATGCATACGTAAAAATCAGGCAGAGCTTCATTTGCACCATTTATTCTTCAGTAAATCCCAGGGAAGAAGTCACAGTACATACACACATAATCAGACAACAATAACATCTTAAATATATTTCATTTTAGGAGAGACGGATTTCGATTTTGCTGTTCCTTTTCATGTGTTTGGAGTTTAAAACTTAAAACATTTTCATACAGCCCAAAAGTTTTATAGGCAATAGGCACCGTGCCTATTATGCCCAATGCATAATATGAGCGTGCTTTTTTTGACAGTCCCTTAAATCAAGGTTTAGTGTACTAAATGAAAATCGAGGTTTTTGGAAGAAGTCGACTTCAACCCTTGCTACCTTCCGCTTGCCCAGATCCAGCGGCTGTGAATCAGATGCTGCACCTACCTTTAGGGGGGCACTCGGTGTGGCCATAGTGGGACTCCCCACACGAGCACGGGCACCCCGCTTCGTGGGACTCCTCCCCGTGGTGCAGCCTGGTGATTTCCTCATCATAGTAATTCATCGGGCCTGGAGTTGGTGGACCATCGACCAGAGTTTCCAGGCAGATCGGACCCTGTCAGAAGTAGATAAAGCAGGCAGGTAATTCAACCCGGTTACCTTGGACAGCGACGCTTCTAATGAAAAAGGATGAGGAAAAAATATATTTCAAGCAGCATCTGGGGTATACGTATTCCCGCAGGGATTTTCTCTCTGTCTTTTTTTCTTGTTTCCAGATTTTAGTTTAGAAAACCAGGGTCCATGAAATGAAAAAAGAGAGAGAAAGAATGAGGGGAGGTGTATCCTTGCTTCTTGAAGCTTCAGCTTACAGAATAGAAAAGTCCACCAACTTTCACGGCTGGCCCCACATCGTCTTCAAGTTGGAAAAAGAGAAAAGAAAAGACCGACCGACCGACCGACAAAATGAAAGCCCAAAGGCGTGGCAAATCAGAAACTAGTTTTAAATCAGGCCCGGCATACCAAGGAAGCTGATGGGGATGACAAAATATTTCAGTCGCTGTATTGAGAAAGACGATGACTTTACAAAGGATTGGATGTTGTGGGTGTGGCCTGGACATTGAAAGATGGGGAATGAGCGTAATTCTGATTCTGTTATAACAAAAAGATAATTTTATTTTCTTTCTTTTTCTGTTCTTCAGTGGCATTCTCTTCAAGTGACAGAAACAGTTTGCTTATCGTAAAGGAAGTACGGTTTTCTAATAAGTAACCAAACTGCATTAATACACTCATTTATCACCATCCAAGGAAATAGCCTGATCAGTTTCTAAGGTACGTACTTAAAATAAGGATAAAGGCTAGGGTGGCTGGGACAGTATGGCAGTTAAAATTCAGTCACCTGGGAGGACACCCTTTCTCATGGGACGCTGGAATAAAATCTGTAAGAAGGAAGTTACGAATCTATTTCACCCCAATTACGACTTACGGCTGCTAATGACAGAGTGGAAGCTGTGCTGAAAGTCTGCTGGCTTGCTGAATAAGAACTATAATTAACTTAAACTCTTACTAAGCTCAGAAGCTCCATGCCCAAAACAACTAATGACTTCTCAGCTGCTTAAATTCTTCCACAAAAACCTCTCCTTTAAGATAAGGATTGTTATGAAGGGGTTGGATACAGGCATAGAATAGCTGTGGACATCAGTGGGACGTTTCAGGCTAATTTAAGTCCCATTCATTCATTTATGTTTCAATCCATCTTTGCGGAAATATAATTATTCTCTCTCTGTCTCTGTCTGTTCAGATTTGATGGACTGATTGATCAGTGATCAACCTATGAATGTTTATGCAGAAAAAAGACCCGCTGTGTTTCACAGGCCTGGTTTGCTGTCAATTTTCTTTTATTTAGGTGCAGGACAGACTAGCTGGAATCCCGCGTAACGACATTCCCCCAGAGATTCGTACGGCTCCCAGCCGAACCTTAATTAACAAGCCCTAAACCTTGCTCAGAGTGGGTGATGGACCCCTTGTGCAATGTTTCGGTCTATTCCAGTGTTGTCCAAATGTGGCCACTTTAAGACGAGTGGACTTCAACTCCCAGAATTCCCTGGGTTCAAGGTTTAGTATAATAATCTTAATTAGTATAATAATCCTAATCTAGGTCAGTGTTTCTCAACCTTGGCCACTTTAAAATGGGTGGACTTCAACTCCCAGAATTCCCTAGCCAGCGTGATTTAAGATGGGTGGACTTCAATTCCCAGAATTCCCCAGACAGTCTGGCTGGGGAATTCTGGGAGTTGAAGTCCACATATCTGAAAATTGCCACGGTTGAGAAACACTGGTTTAGACTAACTAACAGGCTCCCTTTATGCAATACACTATAACACCCTCTCCTGATCTCCAGGTAATCTGGTTCTTCTCAGCTGATCATGAGATATAGTCCAAATGGTTCGTGAACTTGAAAGGGCTGTGTCTTTGTGTGTCTACGTATTTGTGTCTGTGTCTGTGCATTCTACAGTACACACAAATATCACACCTTCTGTGATGGTTTTATTCCATCAGTTGCACATGTGATTTTCCTACCAGTATCTTGGAGAAACTCTGTGTATGTGGTTGCTAAGAGTCAACATCGATTTGATAGCACATCAGCCATCAGTCAATCATAGTGCATGAAACGCTAACCTCTTTTATTTGATGTGAGTCTATCATAGGATGGGATCCACCCATCTTAAATCATGCTGGCTAGGGAATTCTGGGAGTTGAAGTCCACCCATCTTAAAGTGGCCAAGGTTGAGAAACACTGACCTAGATTAGGATTATTATACTAATCCTTGAACCCTACTTTACAAACCCCGGTGGGTGGGTCACCCAATTTGCTAAAGCAGGGTTGGCCATATGGCATCCATGAGTGCCAAGGGCCTTTCACCGAATGTCTGCAGAACACTAATATTAAATATTTCCTTTTTCCTTCGACAAATACATCGGATAAAACTCTGAGGGATCTCCGGGAATTTCTCACGAGAGTTTGCTCATTTGGATTGCTTTGTTGAGCTTTGCTTTCTGCCCAAATGCTTCTGCAGTGGCTCTGGAAAAAAACTGCCAACTCCTTCATAAGACCCAACTCAGCAACGCAGAGGGTTAGCATAATTTCTGATCCCAGCCTTGAGGCAAGCCATGTTAAGGATGGTCATTAAGAAATGGTGATAGAATAGAGCAATCCTTCCAATTTGGTAACAGTTTAAGTCAAGAAGCGCCATGTTGCTAGCTACACTTGGGAGTATGTTGAAGGCCCAAGGGTTCTACGTAGGCTTGGGTGCTACTTGGAGGAGGTGAGAGTCTGCTGCAACTGAGGACACTGGGCAGGCCTCAGCAGCTCCTTGTGATGTCAGTGGGTGAAGATATAATTGCCAGTTTGGAGTGTTGAGTAAATAATATTCCCAGCAAGGATGATCTTGACCAAGCTCTATGACTAACCCTGTGGAGGTGGCGTTGGCGAAGGGTGACCATGTGATCCTAAGATATTCACGATCAGATCTTCTGGGTATTGATTAAGGTGGCGTGTCCTGCTATTACCTCTTCCTCATACAGCCTGAAAAACAGCTGGATTTACAAGTCAACAATTGTAAATAAAAGTATAGCAACATGAATATGTTTGAATGTTTGACTGCCAGGGATCCCCGTTATTCAGGGAGGCCCCGCTGAGCTTTTGAACGTCTGCCAGGCGTGCCAACTGCTGCCAGGGCTTGGATCGCACAGCTGCCATCTGGACTTTTTCAATCACACTCTGTGGACACCCCGGCAGCTGCAGAAGAGGCAGAAATCCAACAGGTGAAGCTACTCCTTCCCTCTCCTTTCAGCCTGTGAAAGTGTCACCTGCTGAATTTATATTTTTGCCAGCTGATTAGAGGGAGAGACAAGCAGAATTTTTTTCCCCTGTGGGTCAGCCCAGCTCTGAGTCTTCACCTGCTCCAAGGGAGGAAAGGAAGCTTACTATAAATAGCCCCAATAGTTCCAGAGTAGGGAGTTGCTTCAATGCCTCGGCTATTTTTGATTCTTTTCCTTGCGCTGTTTATCAGCCAGAACGATGTGGCTTTGTAGTGGCTCGGTATAAATCTTGACAATTTCATTTTCTGCTTCCTTCTCTGATGCTCCCAACACCGGGAGACTAAACTACCAGTTCTCTTACCCATTGTTTATGGAATAAACCACAACTAAGTGGATTTGCACAATTTATTATGTTTCTCTCTCACAAGAGCTGTGTTCATATACCCCAAATCCAAGCATTTCACATTCTAGTACAACGTGTGTACCAAATCTGTATTAACATATTCTTTCTGATTTGTCAAAATCCCTTATATGTGATATTAGAGGGAGAGGCATTGCCTCCCATCTGTCCCTTTCATATTATTTATTAAGCTGGCCTTTCATGTCTTCAAAGAAGCTCAGCTGTTTTGGAAAAAGAAAATTCTTATCTTGACACTTTTCTTCCAAAAGTTGAGAGAGTTTGTGATCATTCCAGATTTTAGATAATGGCTCAAAATATGAATGTTTTGACAGTCTTTAGCTCATTTTTATGTATGATTGAGGCCAGCTTTCCCAGAACGAAAAAACTGTTTAACAGAACAGAAACATTCCCCCTAGAGAGATTCTACTGTACATTTTACTAATACATGCCATTGATGGAATGGCCTTGGGCAAGTCACTTAGTCTACCTTAGATTATAGATACGGTCAGGAAAAAAAATCATACAACTTTTTTTGGGTTTCATGAAATAACTTCTGAGAGAAGGGCAAACACTGCTGGGTCCAGAATGGCAGCTCGTGTGTCCTGTGGTGTCTTTGGACCACCTTTTTGACAAGTGAGATAGCAGGTGAGGAGGAAGAAATCAGAAGATTGGAAGCTCAACCACTCCAAACACCTACCCCTCTCCCGTTCGAGAACTGGGGAGGGAGACCCTGCGACTTTAGGAAGCTCCTTGTTTCATTCATTCATTCAGCCAGCACAAGCACATTGCCCCACCTGAGATCCAACCCACCTCTCCATCTTAGCCTTCACTGTGAAAGAGACTCACCCAAGATCACATTGATTGGTTGGGGAAGAGAGTCAAGTCTTCAGCTCTGAAGATCTCCTCTCTTCTCTCTCCTACTGGTACCCAAAGCATCAGGTTGGCTGAGCCGGCGGGATTTGACAGATCTTGGCAAGGCATCAGCCCTCCGGATCCTTTCCTTACTCTCCAGACCAAGAAGCCTGTTCATTCAGAAGCATTCCTGCTTCGCAGAACTTCCTTCTTTTCAGGGTGCGGATTACAGCAGCTCCTAAATCTCCCTGAACTTGTTTTTGGGCCCAGATTGCGAAAGATAACAAGGAGGGGGACGAGGATGTGCAGGTGGATTTCACCACCCACACCTCAAACCTTGCCGAGGGGGAAGTACAGGGCCTGGACCGCCCAGAGGTGGAAAACCAACCTAACCAAGCCCTGCAATTATTTTAGTCTTCAGAATACCTTTTCTCCCCTTGACTTTCATTTTTATTTAGGTCTTCCTAAAATTCAGTTTTGGATGCCCCAGGCTGTCCCAAAAGATCTAACTGCATATAAATACCTTGTGTGTAAGTGTGCCTGCATTAATAATTCATGAATTATTCATTCATAAATGCACCTACAAATCTGGGGCCCGTCCACCTGGTGCTGTGCAGCTGATCGGTGCTGAACTGATTGGGTGTAAATGGGAGTTCTGGTGCTGCCCCTATGCCCCGATGGTAACTCCATCTCTTCAAGATTTGTGGGGGTGTTCACACGGGGGGGGGGGCAAAAAGCCAAGATGGCACCCACAACTATGTGTTCAAAGCCCTGCCCCTTTTTTATGTGACATGCTTAAAAAGAGGTGGGGCTTTGGGCACATGGTTGTGGTCACCCTCTTGACTGTTTTGACCCCCCCTGTGCAGACCCCTCTGAACACCTGATGCCTAATAAGGAGAATTTTGAAGCATGCAAATGCATAGGTGCTATCATGCGCTTTAAACATTCCGCTCTGCATTTTGACACTGTGACCCTAAAGACATGTGAGAGTTTCACCAGAAGTTTCCAGACCCTCTCCAGGAATTGCAATTTCTAATGCAGCAGAAAGGAAAGATGAAGTCCCTGATGGCATTAATGGCATCTATTTAGCTGAATTCCCTTTGAGGAGCATGAAATCCAATTCACGATTTGTCCTACCTCTGCCCACTCTTGACCCTGATGCCATCTTCTTTGGGGAGCAGGGCTCCTCGCATGCTATGTAAAAGCCAAGCATGGCTTTCCTCTCCCAAAACTGGTTGCATCCCAATCTAGATCCTGTTGAAGGCTGTGGGAGCTTCCCTTGTGAATAAGCACAGGACTCTGGGAAAGAGGGTTGCCCTGTCTTCTGAGAAAATGAGCAGGCATTCAAAGAAGGCTCTGAGTCGCAGCCAGCTTCAGCGTGAGGCATTCTTGCAAAGAAGGAAGATCCTGGAGGTTTTGCAATAGGCCATACTTCTAAAGTAATGCCTGCCATCTACTGGTCTTGCAAATATTCAAAGAAATGGTTAAAGTGGTGCCAGATAACTGGCTAAGAGTTTATTATGATTATGTGCTATCAAATCAGTGTCGACTCTTGGCGACCACACCGTTGGATTTCCTCCAGGATGATCTTCCCCCACCCTGGTCCTTCAGAGATCTCCCAAGGGTGCACCCGTCGTGGCTGTAATCAAGTCTGTCCACCTCACTGCTGGTGGTCCTCATCTTCTCTTTCCTTCCACCTTCCCCAGCATTATGGACTTCTCAAGGAAGCTGAGTCTTCCCACAATGTGTCCAAAATATGATAATTACAGCCTGGACATTTGTGCCTTGAGTGAGAACTCTGGGTTGATTTGTTAAATATTTATTATTTTCATGGCTATCCATGGTGTTCTCAGGGGTCTTCTCCAACACCAAAGTTCAAAAGTGTCTACAGTTTTTCTGTCCTGCTGCTTCTTCAGTCTGATTTTTGGTTGCATAGAGTATCAAAGGAAAAGTATTGCCTGGATGATTCTGATCTTTATGGATATAGACATATTGTGGCATCTGAATAATGTTTCCAAAGCCTTCATGGCTACCCTACCAAGTGCTAGTCTGCAGCATATTTCTTGTCTGCTGGTTCCTTTACTGTTGATGGTTGATCCTAAAAGGTAGAAGCTATCCACCACTTCAATATCTCCATTGTCAAATCAAAAGTCTTTGGGATTAGTTGGGCAGGAAAAGTATCTCAACTAAACAAGAAGCTACCTTTATAAAAGAGAGATCTCAATGCAAGGACATGAAGAAATGGTAGGAGGGAGCAGATAGCATCTAAGAAGAGGTGTCTTGTTCGCCCACCCTTCTCAACCCCCTTTCTTTTACTGAACAGAATGTTCTACAGGGTCTTCCCATTCACACAATTTCCTGGCCTCCTGCAATCACGAGAAAAGGTGCCATATATTTCTCCCTTTCGAGGTCCAACTCCACAAACAATGCAATGTTAGTGGTGGGGACCATCCAGGCTCACGACATCAGGTTGGGGAAGGCTGGAATAAAGTAGGCACCCAAAGGGGAGTTCAATTTTCATGCACCTTTTGCAAACTGTGGGACAGGATTTGGAAACTCTTCTTTGGGGATAAACCCCCACCATTCCCCCAATTCTGCAAATGTTCCTACCTTGCTGTATGCCTCTGGCAGGTCATTCTGGACCTCCTCAGTGTACATGTGGGCTTGCCTGGAGCAACTTTCCTGCGCATCAGTGGAGCTCAGCCCGTGTCTTCCTCCTTTGTTGGTTTTAGGCCACACGTGGGAGTTCTAGCTTCTCTCTTTCTTTTAATCCCTCCCATGGCTTCTATTCCCCCACTCCTTCCTTTCTTTGATTTTGTGAATGGGAGAAGGATGCTGTGACTAACACCTGGAGCTGCGCGAAAAGTGGAACCTTCTCCAATCAAAATAATTATTACTTTGGCGTGAAGTAGAAAATCAAGCCAGACAAGGGGTAAGCATTAGATGCTGAGAGAAAGGAAATAAATCACACCTCTCCTTCTCCACGTGAGTGGTGGCACAGGCATTTATTTTACTGATTCAAAAACTGGAGCTAAATAAGCTGCTTTTGGTTTTTTAGCTTCCCAGGTGGACCAAGCATCCTTTGCTTTACCAAAAGGCTCCAAAGAGGATGCAAGAAATACTGGAAAACAAAAACGGGAGAACCAATGCACCAGACTTTATGATCAGGAATATTTGTGAGTGTTCCATGTGTGCACTTCTTGGCATGTAGACATTTAAAAAGGAGCAATTCTCCCCGTTCCCCACGTCCAACTTGATCTCCTTGTCTGGAGAAGCTTCATCTAAATGACCAAAAAGGGCCTGTGCAAGCCAAAATTATTATTGCTGATGAAGCATAACAAGCATAACATTTTACCGCATGTTGTAAAAGAAAAGAACTGAATGCAGTGCTGGGCCCCTATTCCATGTTTCCCTCCTTAATCATTTTTGTTGCAGGAAAAAGACGGGACACAGGGGGTTCCATGCAAAACCCTCCCAAGGAAATTTGTAGATCTGAAGCCCGACAATTGTAGAACAACAAGCCTTGTCTGGAAGCCAAGGTGATCATGTGGCTTCTACTTCTGGGACAAGTCCAGGTTTTAGATTCAGTTCCTACCCAGGAAACTTTTAAAAAGGATAAAATGTTTGGGATTGCTCACTTGCTTTTAAACAGGCTAGGGAACCTCCTTGCCTCATTCTTCCAACCTGCTTCCTCTTTTTGAGCATCACTGCGCAATCTTCTTTGTTGACTTGGCTCCCCACTATTCTCCCACTGGTTCCTCTTCTCTGTCTGTTCAGGTGCCAGTGGTCCCCCCGCCCCGCCTGTCCTCTTTTCAGCCTGTCCATGCTCTTCCTTGCTAGCTGTGGTCCTCAGTCAGGATCCAGCCCTCCTCTTCCCTTCTTCCTTCCCTGATACAGGATCCAACGTTTTTCCTTCTGTCACTGCTGGGTTAGAATTATCATTCTAAATAATTCTTCAGGGGAAGGGTAGTGAGCAGATTCAAAAGTAGGAATGAAATTGTGTTTATGTGCTTGTGCATTTGAGTGTTTTAGGAGTCTATGTGTGAGTCTGGAGAGCCTCAAGTTGAAATCCCCACATGGCCATGGAGCTTAGTGGATCACATAGGGTGATTTACCTTCTCCTTTAAGGTAGCTATGGAGATTTAGTGAGGGAAGACCCACCTCTAAGCTGCCTTGAACTCTGACAGAAAAAGTGGGGGTATAAATTGAAAAATAAACCAATGCATTTCCCCATGCTGTGCCTGGTGCATTAAATAAAGCAACCCTTTCTCCAGAGGATCCTATTTTTAGAAGGTTCAAATACTGCATCATATTGAGTCTACCAAGCTAGAGAGAACATGTGGTCCTTTTCTATATAAAGCAAGGTTTCCTCCGATCTAAAAACAAACATTCAAGGCCTTTCCTGAATCTTTGACCTGTTGTTCTCCAGAGATGGGAGGTTATAATTCCCATCATCTCTATGCAGCGTGTCACCGCATAATTTAAGCATGGATAGAGCTACGTGGAGTTCTTGAGTGTGTCTTCTTGCTTTGATAAGCATAAAACATGTCAGTGGTTTGTGGGGATGCTATTCAAAATGAAAGATGCCGTACGAAGTTCGACTCACCTGTTTTTCTATCTTTTCCACCCATCACCGAAGCCACCCCAAATTGCCAGCTCTTCTGCCTTAAAGGAATTTCCGACAGAAAGGAAGCCGTAGATTTGACTCATAGGATATGACATGTAGGAAGCGGAGGCGGGAACATTCTAGAAGAGCCAACGAGCCTTTTTTTTAAATGGATCTATTTATTTTCTCTTGGATCTATTTATTTTCTATTTATTATCATAATTTTAATTGATTTTAACCGTTTTGTAAACTGCCGAGAGTTGTTTGATGAGATGGGCGGTGACAAATTTGATAAATAAATAAATGGATAGATAGATAGATAAATTCCTGATGCATTTTTTACTGCAGGAAACTTCATCCATTAAGATACTGTTTGCTGCCAGTTGGCTAAATTGGTCTACAATCTTCAGATGTGTTTGCATTGATTTTGGTAGGACGTATCGCAACGCTAGCTTTGAATGGTTGTCCCGAGGAACTTTATATTCTCCAAAAGATGATTTAAATAAACTGCTGTAGAAGAAATGGGACTATCTTGATTCAGGCTTGTGCCCTGATCGCCTGAGCATCACCTCGAGGTGCGTTGGTTGGAACGTTCTGCCAAATATTTTAAGTGCATTTTGCAGGCAGGAAACATTTATTTATGTGACTTTCCCCAACAGAACAAGCAGCTGTGGTTTCAGGGTCTGAACGTACAAAGCTGTTTTAAGGTCAGATATGGTGTTCCAAAAATACCTAGTAAAACACAATCCCTTAAAAACAACACATTAAAAAAAACAAGTCAAAAGCAGCGCAGCCACAGTTAAAAGAGTAAGAAAATGAAAATAATATAAAAAGTTGCGTTCTTCAGATTACGGTATTGAGCCAGCTACTCGCTAGTATTTTTGACAACCAACCGTTAGAAGTTCTCCAGATCTTCAGGATGAGGCTTTCTAACCTTGGCTAGAGATAGCGGGGCTGAACTGGAGAACTTGTATAGGGAAAACAAATAATTAACCAGAGTGAAAACAGAAAGACTGATGTAATTTACACATTATACTAAGCAATAATGTGTCTGCATGCTTTTGCCATATTGTCTTGTGTGAACCAAGTTGGTGTGATCTGGAAACCATGATTTATGGCTTAATGTGCTGAGTCAACCTAACTTGTAGCTGATTCCACAGTTCAAGGATAAGGAAGCTGTGGTTTCATCATGTGTGAAGTCATTATGGTTTCTTTCATGATCCAGTGTGTTGTATGAACACTGCCCATTCTGACTTATTACACAAACCATTGTAGAGACATGTCTACCAGCAGATCTCTGTCACGGTCATCCTCCTTACTGTCTACAACCAGGCTTAGTACAGATCCAGCCACTGTGATGTTTAACTCTGACCACAGTCATGGCAGGCAGCAGACAACATCCAGATTCTTCAGGTCTTCCTAAAAAAGGAAGTCTGTCTGTTGCAACAGACCAGCACAGGGACCTCCTTAGCTGTTGAAGATTGGATGAAACAACCAAGGAGCCCTATTTCTTTTTTCAAGCAAATGTAGGATTGTAGGTGACAAGGGAGGCTCCATAGTGATCTCTGATAGCAAGCAGGTTCATCTGGGAGATGACTATTTGTCTGATATTCTAGATTAAAAAAGGCCTTATTTTGAAAATTGTAACCAGAACTGGGCCTGGAAATAAATCAGGAGCAAATGCAGACATGTCAGCAGTGATCTCACTGTCCCCAGCTCTAGTTAATAACCTGATTGTTGCATTTTTGATCATCTTGAAGCGTCTGGACACTTTTGAAAGGCAATCTGTGATGGAAAGTCTAACAGACCATGGGAAAAGGAAAAGGAAAGAGATTTGCAAAATCTGGGCCATTGCAAAAGAGGTACTTTATCCCTGGCGGGGGGGGGGGGGGGGGTGCATGAGAAGGAGTCTTAGATTAACTCTGCCTTAATTACTCTAGGTATAAGTTGAGCTGGAGAATTGTTTTGATGGGCTTTCAGGAATCTGTAACAGTACCCTACCAGCAATAAAGATCTTTCCAGAGATCCAAATAGTTCTTGTATCCTGAGTTTGTCAGCCTCCTTGGGTTTGATACAACCTCACATTCAGTCCCTTGCAAGATCAGAGCTGGCATAACTTTGTCATGTGTCACCCAGTTCTAAGGAATTATCCACAAAGTAATGTGAGAAGAAAGTGCAATGGGTTCACACTTCCTCATTGAATGGATTACTGTAAACATCTTCCTTAGTTATGCAAAACAGCTTTTCCAGGATGTTGTATGCTCTCTTATGAGAATCACTTCACCTTAATAAAGATTCTCATTCATTACATTTCAATGGTTAGCAACCACTCCCGGTTTAGAAGTGGCTTTGGAGAAAAGGGGTCTGTTTGTTCGGTTGAACAGTCATCTCTGAAAAGTTGGGGTCTGGCTAACCAAGCTTGTTTCTAGCTGGCCATTAGATGAGATGTTAGTGGTGCTTCAAACAGAGCAAATTACAGCCCCCATCTGGCTCTGCTGTTTAGGTGAGCTTCATAATCTAGAATAATTCTTCATGCTCTTTTGCATTTCATCAACTTGGCCAGTACATTTCTTCATGTTTCATTCAACATTGCCATGTAGACGTTGCTTTCATATTCTGGGGCCTTTGCTGAAGAGCAGGCTATAAAAGTTTTAAATCAACAAAGATGAACATTATTACTATTACTATTATTATTTAGGAAAACTCTCCAAAAGAATCTTAAGCAGGTCTGAATATGAAAAAATGGTATTGGAAGATTATATAACTAATACTTTGATGTGAATTGCAGTGGTTCTTTTTTTATGTTATCATTAACTTTGGATGAAAACTGAAATCATGTTTGTAAGATTGACATCCTAAATTGCAATTAACACTGATAGAATTTTTACTTTTCTCTTTTTACCTCCAATACTTTAAGCTTTCTAAATAATAGCAGGTTCAAAAATGTTTAGTCATGTTCCATCAATATGACTGCACTGAAATCTGCATCGAAATAATAAAATGTATCCAGATTTATATTACGATATAATAAAAGAAAGAAAATGGTATTGAAAAGTGTGGTATAGAATCCGTGATTTTTATTCATTTTTTAGTCCTACCCCTTGAGATTTGTGGCTGATGTCCTTTCTCTTGATGTAGGTCACAAGCAAAGCTCAACCACACGCTTGATCATTAGGCCCAGAATGGCAACTGGACCCACACATCTAGTTCACCCTGAAGCCAACACAGGCAAAGTGGGCTGAATGAATACAGCCGTAGCGGATGGCGATGTATTCTAGCCACTGGAGGGGAGAGGGAGGTGCAAAAACCATTTCTATTTTGGTCCACTCAGAGGTGCCTCCCCCCAGACTTTAACTGCAATCCCCCTTCTGACGGCGGCATGGGATCCTGAACCAAGAAATCCCTGAGCACTGTAAAGGAAGCCTTGAAAAACGCTGAACGTAACAAAAAGGATGGTAGGGAAGGTTGCAGAGCCCAACATCTGGAATTCTTTCCAGTCCTTTTCCAATCGCTCATGTGACCAGGAGAGCGTAGAATGGAGGAGTCAGGAGCGTTCCAAGATGCTGCCCAATTACTTCCCCATCAAGATTTTCAAATTCACAGAGGTCCATGCAATTCTCTAAGCCAAAACAAACCAAATTGTAGCATAATGGGAAGTCTACGACTGCCCAAGTTGGGGTAGCTATGTGTCCACCTATCTGGTTTAGGGAGGTATCAAAGGAAACCCAGCAATGTTACCTCCCCTTTTTTGGCCATTAAATCAAAGGAAGTCTTAGCTTGCACCACGAGCCTTGAACACTCCATAGCAATCTCGTCCCACAACAGCCTTGTAATAAATTAAAATGTGGTGCAGAGAAGCTGATGAAGAAAGTGGGAATGCTTAGGAATCATTACGAAATGAGTCTTCTGGCCATTCTAATTTTTCTAATGCTATTAGGTGCAATTACTGTGCTCATGTTCTCTCGGTTACCTTCACCTTTCCTCTCTGTTTTTTTCAGGCAGCAGTGTGTTGGGCTGTTGAAAAAGAACCACAGTTTCCTGCCCTGTGTTTGTGTGGCCAGGATGTGCTTTCATGAAGCAAGGCAGAATATGAGTCACACACGTGGTCCAATTTGCACAAAGACTTAATATTACCAGAAACACCTTGATTTAAGATCTGGGCATGCTTTGGCCAAACCACCCAATATCCTCTCTCTGAAACAATTCGGTGACTGGGTGATGCAAGAGGAGGATAAAGTTGTTTGCTGCTTCTCTTGTGTAAATATAAAACAGGGGACATAAAGGAGAGCAGATCCTTCCGAGGATCCAGCACTGCTTGTACCGGAAGCGCTTACTTTCAAAAAGCATTGAGGTGTTCTGGAAGGGCCTTCCAAGCATAAGGAATTGCAAAAGTTGCTATGTCTTATTTTTACTATAGAAGGATGGCTCAGATCCTGGAGCCCCTCCTGGGAGGTTCTTGGGTACCACCTTAGTTTTCTTGCTTCTTCTGATTTTTAGTTTTGCATTTATAATATTTCTAATTAAGAAAAATACGGTGGTTGGCCTGGTGCGAAGGAAAGTGTGAACCGTCTTTATTTCCAAGATGGGTTTTGCTTACATATGAAATGGATGTTGAAACAGAAAATGGAGGGTTCAGGTTTGGAACTCAGCATAATCATTTACCATGTTGAGTGGGGATGAGGAGATCGGTAGTCCCAACACATACAGAGGAGACTGGCGTGAAGACATGGTTTCAGTATTAAACTCCTTGGTTTTAAACTCACTGCACCTAGATTGTCCTTAGTAGCAATTTTAAAAAAAAAAGAGCAAATGAACTGTAACATTCTAGGCATCTATAATCTTCTCATTTGGCTCCCTCTTAACTAAGATGAAACAATTAAGGCAATTAAATTAAAAACAATACACAACTGAGCATAGCTCCATCCTTTCGAAACCAAGTAGGCATTAAAAAAAAAAAAAAAAGCAGACACACCCGTTTGATGCTTCCTTCCATTATGACGCCTGGATAAAGTCATGCAAATGAAATGCCAGATTTTGCCAGGCTGATCAGCTTCCCTTGCATTGAAGTAGCTTAGGTTTGAATCTATGCCTGACACCCCAGTTGCCGTGATCAGTTTAGGTTCTGTTGTATAGCATATTCCATGCCTTTCCATGAGATGTTGATGATTTAGACTGGAAACTAGGCCTTAGGAGGAGAGATGGAGGAAACTGGTTTTGCTTGGCTTTGGGAAAAACATGACTAAGATGGTATATGAGAAATTGTGGTGTGGCTGGGAAAGGAAAAGAAAGCAGACATAAACAGTGAAGAGATAGGGAATCAGTTGCTCGGTTATCTCATGAACAGCAACTTAGCCCAGGTGAGAGGAATCTAGGAAGAAACATTTCAAAGCATTCAAACAAACTGTGTCTTAATGAACTCACTATAAACCAGGCTGGGAAGTTTCCAAGATTTGGTATTTAGTCCCAACTAGCATTAAAGATATCTTCCTGAAATTTACACCGTTCTTGCTTTCTTGATCTTGCCCAGCAGTGTGGGATTTGATAGGAATGGCGCTTTTCAAGCCTCTGGAAAGACTGGATGTCTGTTATGATGTCATATTCCTAGTGATTTCATGGATGTCTCCATGTGGCTACATTGAAAAGCTAAGCTGAGTCAGACCTAGTTGAGACTTGAATGCGAGATTTCAGAGATTTTTTTCTAGAACAGTGTTGTGGCAGCCACACTGCCTCCTTTCCATATTATGACAGGTAGTCCTCCACTTATGACCATCGAAGTTACGATGGTGCTGAAAAAAGTGACTTTCGACCGGTCCTCGCACTTACGACCATCGCAGCATCCCTGCGATCACACGATCGAAATTCAGGTGCTTGGCAACCAGCATGTATTTACAACAGTTGCAGCGTCCCAGGGTCATGTGATCGCCATTTGCGACCTCCCCGGGGGGCTTCCGACAAGCAAAGCCAATGGGGGAAGCTGGATTCACTTAATGACCATGGCAAAAAAGGTGGTAAAATCTGGCGCAATTCACTTAACAACCGCATCGCTTGGCGATGGAAGTTCCGGTCCCAATTATGGTCATAAGAGCCAACACTTGCTATTAGGGAAGAAGTTATTATACATGAGTCAGTCATGAAAACCTCAATAATAATAAATATATATGAGTCAATAAATAAAGATAGGAAAAAGTCCATGGGATAATTAAGTTATGCGTCTTCCTGCTGTGAGATGCTGCCGAGGGAGGAAAAAGCAGATAAAGACTTTTATCTTCTTTTTTTTTTTTTTCTTCCCTGAACCGAACTCAGCACGAGGTGACTTAATGAATTTGTGTATGTAGTTTTCTTGGTCACCATACAGAACTGGTTTGCCATTGCCTCCTTCTGGTTTTACATTAAGGAAGGAAAATCCTGTCTGAACGGTAGCGAGAAAATCCTAACAGGAACAGCCATCTGACTGTGGAACTAACAGCCCTGCCACACGCACAATTCTTCCAAGAAAGAAATGGGATTTTGGGGGTGCTAGAGTGATTTGTAAGGGGTGCTAGAAGATACTGTCGATCCCTACACTGAGCTGGGTTGGACTTGATGACCTCAAGGACCCCTTTCAAATCAGGCTCCAAAACCGATGCCATTTGAGTGTGATTTCTTTCAAAGAAAGGAGCGCAGAAAACAGATGCCTTCTTGCAAGTGTCCTTACCACTTTGCACGAAATGGCATTTTTAAAACGTGTGGTTTCAAGGAAGGAAGGGCGCCCGTTTTTAAATATTCCAATACATTTTTGGGGAAGTGTCTTACCTCTTCCCCTTCCCTCTTTGAAAAGAAGGCAGGAGGCACATTAAATACAGGATGGGGAAATGGGCTTCTTGTCAATGGAAACCAGTGCAGCTCACAAAACCTTCTGCCTTTTAATAAAATTGGTTGGTTGGAAAAGATGCTACTAGGCTCCTGATTTTTGGGACTATAGACTGAGACATCTCTCCTTCTACAATGCCTGTAACAAAATAGACCATGTTAGGGGTATGTAGGTTTAATATAGTGTGAGATCATTGGGGTTTGACTGTTCCATAGTGAAACACAGAGGCTACGCATTCATGGGCATGCAACCTCCAAACTGTGAATTCAACCTGTGGGCTGTGAGCGGCTGAGCTCTGGGGTAAAAAGGCAGCCAGTCTGCTTTAAAAGGAGTCAACCAGGAAATCTTGATTTTGGGAAATAAGCAGCATTTTTATTCCGGAAAAAGGATGCATCCTGGGAAAATAGGCACGGACTGGCATTATTGGAATTGGTGGCGAAATACTGACCTTTGAATCTCTGGTTCTAGAAGTGCTCTTTGGTGAAGGTTTGTTGATTGGCTTATGGATCAAAGTACAGCCACTTTGTAACCACACCTACTTCGAAGGAGATGAAATTTCATCCCTGGCACCTTTTGGGAGGTTCTGCTTTTACCTGGAGGGCATAAGAAAGAAAGAAGCCATCATTAATCCACATTAATCCACCAGCTCCAGCAAAACCCAAGATGGCTTGGCAACAGCCTGTTTTAAACCCGGTGAGTGTGGAGAGTCAGCGCAGAGAAAGTTTCCATCGTAGATTTTTTGGGGGGGGGGGAGATTCCCCCCCCAATATTGGAGCACACAGTAGAGAGTTAGCGATTTAGACCCTGAGACACGTTGGTCGAAATGTGGGAATGGGCCTTCTGGGGGGGGGCAGTAGATCTGCAACCCATTTAGCACCCAGTTGCACGATCCCATAACAAGGATCTGCAATCATAGCAAAAAATGTTTTTTTGCTGAGGCTGGAGCTTCTCATGGAGGTCAGTGATGGGGAATGTTTCATTGTCTTAATTTCTTTGTCAGCCTTCAATCTGAAAGTCAGGGAACAAGAGAGAAGTTTGTTCCAATGAGGTCTTTCCTGTTAAGGCGAGCTAAGCTCTGCTGGTGTTTCTTGCAGGGGGTGGCAATGGGTGGGCCTTGTTTGGACTCAAGCTAAGCAGAATTGGTCCTGGTGGGTTCTTGGATGGGCGACCCTTTGGAAATATCGCCTGTAGGTGAGACCGGGAAGTTGAAAAAAGACATCTTGGAAGAAATGTGGGTGTGGCTGGCTTTATTCCCAAGACACAAGGGGATCCTAGTTCTTGAAGCTGAAACCATGTTCATGAAGACTAATCCTAGGAAAGAAGCTGTTAGTCTCCTGTAGCAGTTAAAGTGGTTTACTTTAAGCCACTTTGCTATTTCCTCCTGACTTTCTTGTAATTAACAAGGTATGAGAAGGCTCCTTGAAAGTCTCACGAAATGGATTCCAGCCCACAAAAACACATTCCAGCATAATGTTAGTCTCCAAGGTATCCAAAGGGTGAATCTTAGTTTCTGGAGTGAGCCCCCCCAACCTTGTTGAGATTTGCACAGGCAAGCAAACCACTTTATAGTACAGTGTGGTGTGTGGACCCCCGTTTCAGTTATTTTTAATTCCACTGTAACAGCTTTCTTCTAAGCGTAGGTCCTCCAGATGTTCTCCCAAAGTTGACTGGGAACTTGGACGTCAAAATCCAAGATCTGGAGATTCCCAAGTGGTGAAAATATACACAGGCTGATATATCATGGCTGCGAACATTGCACTTATGATGCAGATTTGAGTATATTTGAATTGTGATACTGGAGGTGATTATTTTTTTTCTCTCTCTTCCATCCTGCAGTGCATTCCCTTTAATGGCCCCATTTTTGGGGGTCTCAGTGAAGGAAAAATGATTTTAATCCAAGGCTGTGTCTTGTACTCTGCAAGAAGGTTTGTGGTCCCTTAACCCTTGATTGCTTGATTGTTGCCCCATCTACTCCTTCCTTCTTTCTCTCTTTATTCCAATTTTACCATCTGGCTTGAAGCATATTATTTTATCACTTGGCTTCACTGCAGGGCGTTTTGTTCTTCATTTTATGATGTGATGATTCCTGCTTCTAAGGAAGGGGGTATGGAAGAATGTACTACGTGCCAAGTGGCTTTTGAACCTAGGGATGTTGGTGTTGCCAAGAGAAGACGTAACTACACATCCACAGCCCTGCTGGACTAGGCCAAAGGCCATTCTAATCCAGCCTGTTCCTCACAGATAGAATCCTGTTGGAAGGGACCTCAGAGGTCATTTAGTCCAACCCCTGCTTGCTGCACAATCTGCTAAAGCATTTTGGAGGGGAGGCTACCCAGCTCCTGTTTGAAGACCTCCAATGAAGAGGAACTCTTCCAGAAATTCCTCCTAAATTCTAATTTGAATCTATTCCTCTGCAGTTTCAACCCACTGGGCTTCAACCTCCCTTTGGAGTGATAGAGAACAAGTCCCCCATCCCCGCCCCCCATATGGCTGCTTTCATAACTCTCCTCTTCCTTCTCTTCTGTTGGCTAAATATCTCCAGTTTCTTTATCCATTCCTCCAAAGACTTGGTTCCCAGTCCTCTTAACATCTTGGTAGCCCTCCTTTGAATCCACTTCAGTTTGTCAACATCCTTCTTGGACTGTGATGGTTGCAAGCAGGAAGTGGAGACATGCCTCCCTCGCCCCATTGTGCATGCACTGATTCACTGTGCTTTATAGCCAGTGCAATTTCAAGGCTCTTAATGGTTTACAGCAGTGCTTTCAAACTTGGCCACTTTAAGATACGTGGACTTCGACCAAGTTTTTTTCTGGGGAATCAGCAACGGGAACAATTGTCCTGGGTCCTATGGAGGGAGGGGTCTTCTCAGAAGGATGGTTCAGGATTTGAAGGGGTCAGTTGTGTTGGAGTGACATCCCAAGTGAAATAACCAACAGGTTGGAGAGAATTAATGGGTGCACCTTTGATTGATTATGTGCCATCCAATTGGGGTTGGCTCTTCGCGATCACACAGATAAGTTATTTCCTTTATTCCCTAAAAAGGAACGATGATCATCAGGTGGTTCTTCAGAAAGACACTTTGCTTATTTATTATTGGACTGCTATCCCACCCATTTTGTGCAATTCAAGGCAGCGTATCTAATGCTCCCACCTCCTATTTTCTCCACCACAACAACCCTGTGAGGTGGGCTGGGCCAAGAGAGGGGATACCAGTGGGCTTCTGCGCCTAAGGGAGGACTAGAACTGGGACACCCAGTTTCTAGTCCAGCACCTTCACTGCTATACCACATTAGCTCTACTTAGACATTTGAGTAGAAACAAGAGCAGAACACATTAGTTCCCAGTACACCTATTCATTTAACTAACTTTCATGCAATTAATAAAGAATTACATCGTCATCATCATCAGGCACACATTTGTTCTTTGAGAAGATTCCCTCCACCTGCATCCTGCCCCAAAATTTTAATCTTGAGAGCAAATAAGAACAGGTTCCCACCAACTTGAAACTCTGATGGTTGTGTCCACTCATCAGTTCAGCTAGTTTATTTCAAGGTCCCTAGTTCTATCCAGCTACGGTCTGTGTCTTGCACTTCATATTTTCCCCTTTACTAGCCAAGCTCCTTCCACAGACGGATCCATGCAATTCCTTGGAAGCAGGAGAATCCATCAGTGAAAGTTCAGTCCCCTGAATGACCTCCATTGGGCCAGTTTTCTCAGGCCCTTCCATTCAATGGAGTTATTGACTTTGGCGGAGAAGAGGTCAAGGGAGGGAACAAAACAACCTTTGGATGTAGGTTGCAGTGAAAAGAAAGTGGGGGTCTCAGATAAAACAGGAACCGGTGTTCCCAAGGGATGGTCTTTATCGATTCATCATCTCACAGGGATCCAGCTGTTCTTCTGTAGATCATTTTAGATGTCCTTTGAGGGAAAGATGGAGCTTGACGAGCAATATAGCCAGCCACAGGGGCCTTTGTATTCCAGATTCGCTGTGAACCTGGTGTGTGCGAATGAGGATATAGCCTTCCACTTCAACCCACGGTTTGATGAAGGCAACGTCATTGTCTGCAACACCCAAACAAATGGGTGCTGGGGACCCGAGGAACGAACCTCCAATATGCCCTTTCGGCCAAGTGTCTCTTTTGAAGTGATCATCAACATCAGGAGCCATGGTTACCAGGTAAAGTCAAGGGCAGAAGCCAATGTTACGGGCACAGGGCCTCTTGGGTCCAGCTTCCCAGTTGCACGTGTAGCAAAGCCATCATGTGATTTGTTCTTGGCTTAGAATATTGTGTGAACACATATCTTCTGGTTTGTAGACCATAGTTTATACAGGGACGGCTATCTTCAAAGGGACAGGAAGGCTGGTACCAGTACAGATAGGGTTATGGTTAGGTGGCTGCCCTGGGTAGGGCTGATGGGAGTTGTAGTCCAGTCCACCGGAGAGTGCCTGGTTTGAAAAGGCATCTCTAAGCAATTTCTCCCCCCTACTCCCATTGTGGCTGATCTGCTGGAATTGCACCAACCTTGGTGGAAACTCCTTAAATCAGGAAAAGGTAAGAAGGTAAGACCAGATTGAATTTGATCTGCTCCTCTCCGCGCTCCTTCCAAAGTTGAGCCCATGCTCTTTCTTGGTATTTGAATGGGGCAGAGCGGTGAATAAATAAGTATCAGGTTTAAATGAACCCCGGCATCTCAATTTTTTTATTCTGCCTCCCCCATTTCTGTTCCATTAATAAGGCAAACATTAAAAGGTGATTTATTGCTTGTTGCCCCCTAGTGGTGGTGCATGGATTCATTTTTGCTGCCCCCTAGTGGTTGCCGTGCAGAATGTCTACTAACATTAAAGTGTTTTGTGCACCTGACCTGAGTCTCATCTCTTTTTCCTTTCTCTTCTCGAAATATGTTTGGGGGAGAAAGATGGAATGATTGCATAATTAAGAGCTGTGGATATAGACCAGTGTTTCTCAACCTTGAGAACTTTAAGATGTGTGGACTTCAACTCCCAGAATTGCTGGCTGGGGAATTCTGGGAGTTGAA